TGTGAAACATTTTGGCTATGTACCATAGTCACAGTCAAAGGCCAGTTTTACCTAAAGATGTTCACACTACTCTGTACAAATTAGGATGTCTAATTTAAAGATTTCTTGCAAGCCAATTTATCGTAGTTTGCATCCATCCTATTAGTAGGTACATGTGGTATGCTGACACACTCAGAATGTCCAAGGATACCCTGCTTCTCAGTTCACTTGTGTATCTTTTCTGCCTGCAGAGCATCATTATTAATTTTATTATCCTTAAGCTACTTCAGGATGTAATCTCAATTCTGATGTTTCAAATTAAAGGTCATGATGTAACAATTAACCTACCTGCAAGATGAAAAATGTAGATATGCTTATTTGTCATAATACAATGTCAGCCCTACATGACCAGGCTAAGACACCAACACCATGTAGATCAGTACTACTTTGATTATAACAACTATAGTAACAGAATCTTGCAAATATGAATGTGCTTCCTCCGAACTATGACAATGACTTGCTGAGAGGTTGTTTCAAGTTACTTTCTTGCCTTTCTTATCTGACCATTTTCAGTAACAGTTCTCCTTCCTGTCCTTCAAGGCCGTTCCTTGTGTCCTCTACATAGATTTTAGCCCTAGCTCCTAAAATCTTGTGTGTTTAGACCAGAGTTATTGTAATAAAAAAAATTGTAAATGAGAAGAAAGATCACATAGTACTGTTAATCTAGGTTTTTAGCTGAGGTCCATTGCAACCACGCAAATCTTCCTTGCTAAAGCAAGTTTAGAACCATACATTTCTAACATGTTTTATCCCGAAGAGGGCTTCTCCATCTCCCACCTATCATTGTCCATTGTACCCATCACCAAGGAAGGATAAAAGTCACTGAAGAATAGTGCCCCCTGCTGCCAAGCTTCACAACAGCTCCAGAACAATATGATGTTCGTTGATATCAAAGGCTGCTAAGAGGTGGACGACCAGGATATTTGCACTCCATCTATGCCATACTAAATGTCAACAAAATGTTCTTTTGTTCTCCCATTCAGTCCTAAATCTTGACTGAAAAGGTCCCGATAATCTGTTGTATCGAGAGTCCTCTATAAATAAAGTCCAGCCACTTTGACAATACCCCCTGACAGAAGGGAAGCTAAAAAATAATTACGAAGGTAGCCTGAACAATGAATATCTCACTTTAGAAATCACTATTTTGTTTTCTGTTGATACAGGCCAGTTTGTGATTTCTTGCCTTGATATCAGCCATGTTGTAGCCTAGAGACTGACAGTTGCCAAGGAGAATGAATATTTTTAGGCCTTGTCTATACTGTCTTACTGGTTGCTTTCCACATCGCCAGATGCTTGTTCATGCAAACAGCCAAATGTGATTTAGAATCCATTATGTCTCTTCAAGGAAAATAATGCCAAGAGGCAAACTTGTTCCTATTTGTATGTAACTGAATTACTAACAGTGCCATTTTTATATAAATAGAACAGCCATTTTTGAAGCTCTATGTAAGATGTGAAGAAATCTAAGATGGCTACTTGTGCTGTTGATCTGCATTCATTAGACTGAATCATACTTTTTTGTCCAGATTAATAAATTGATCCGTTTTTTCCAGGTGAATAGATTAAAGCACCTTTAAGCCAGCCCCTTCTGATCTTTATGATGATCTTTAACAACCACAGGAAGACTTCACTTACTGACTCTCCTGCTTAGCAACCATTTGTAATTACAACAGTGCCAAAATAGTAAATTTAGCATTCCCATGGTAACCTATTTAATATTTAGGGACTTTGCAACCAGCAGGTGTTTATAACTGTCATAGCATCCTGTGATCGCATGATTGCCATTTGCACTCTTCACAGCCAGCTTCCAATAAGCAGACAGTCAAGAATAAATGCAAGTCACAATAACATGATGTTTTCAAGGTTCCAGTTAAGGATCCCAACAAAGTAAATATACCAGAGTCATTTATATCTCTAATGCAAAACTTTATTGGATATAACATACCGGAACTAAAGAGTTGAAAACTAGCTCTGGCAATATGGTGGGAAAAAGATAATTAAAAGAGTAGAACTTTCCCTCCCTCTCTGACAGTTCAAGTCACATTGTCCAATTAATCTTCAGGCAGTTGTTATGAGAAGAATGTCTCTGTCCATCACAACATCTCTTCGGTGACCTTGGTTCCCATCCAGATAGAATCCACCTGTGCATTCCAAACCTTCCCCTCCCCCTCGCAACTGTAGGCAAGCTAGAAGTAGCATGGCAGTCCTAATGCAAGCAATCTTCATAGCTTGACAGATGTCTTATTTAATGACCACGAGAGATTTGCTTAACAACTACAGGAGGGGATTTTCCTCTTAATGACCATGTCACTTAGTGAAAGAATTTCTGGTCGTTGTTGTTGTTAAGCAAAGAATACCTTGTTTATGGAATGGGCCACCTCACCACGGACAACTTGTGGAACAATTTGCCGTATGACAACTCGCCATGGGATAATTCAACAAATACAGAAATATAGAAAAATAAAGTCAATCCAGAAATATAAGATTTCCAATAATTTCGATGAAAACATGGTTACTAATGATAAAAGTAACTGAATAAAACGATTAATACAATGTTGACTTGTCCTGTGGCGAATTATCCTGCAGCATGTTGGCCCTGGCAAATTGGCTATAGCACGTTGTCCGTGGTGAATTGGCTGCAGTGAGTTGGGTATTGCGAGTTATCCTAGGCCCTATATGCCTGTGCTTAGTGCCTTTTTTTGTGCTGCTATGATTAGTGCTGGTAGTTCCACTTCATCAGTCTTAATTACCTTCCCTCTCTTTACTACTATCCAGCAATAGTTCTCTAGTCCGAATGACATCCATATATATTGCCCAGCTTCCTTGATAAGTGCTCTTCATTTTTACAACCTTAGTTTGTGATGTTAACACTATATTAATATGGCTCTGAGTAACATGCAGAATTGTAATGTTGACATCTGATCGATCCAGTATATAAATTGAATTGACGGGTTAATATGTAATACAAGGAAAAATTATATCAAATGCATTTCAACAAATATGCTTTTCTCTGAGGATGGCAAGTCCTGCAATACTTAAGAATCCAGTGTTTGTTTAAATAGTGGTTCCATGAAAACCTGTCACTGTATGCAATGTACAAGATGACTCTTTAGCTTGATGTGGTCACTTTTACCCAAGGTTCTGGCAACTTCAACTCTCTCTATCACTTCTTCTCGATTAGTAAGGATTAGGTCCAGTATGGCTTAACTGTAATATACATCTATGGCAATGTCACTTTTTTTCCCCTTTTACATTGACCCCTATACATTCTGGAGGGATTTTATCTTTAATCACATGCATTTCTGTAGATGTGCAGTGTTCTCTTACATATAGTGCAACTCCCCTTTCTCTTTTTGTAGATCTATTTCTTTTGAACAATTTGTATCCATCCATCAGTCCATTCCAGTCATGGGTTTCGTCCCACCAGGTTTCTGTAATGCCAACTATGTCATACCTGCCCTCATGTACTATTACTTCTAGTTCACCCTGTTTGTTCCCCAAACTTTGAGGGTTTGTATATAAGTATTTAAGACCTTTATGCCTGTCCGTGGGTATGTTTCCTGCATCTCCTGATTTTTGTTGGAGTTTTTCTTTTTTCTCCTCACTCCCTACCTCATTGTTTGATTTGTTTTCTTGGGATTTATGACTGGTTTTGTGTTCTAGAGCAGGGGTGTCAAACTCAATTTCATTGAGGGCCACATCAGCATTGCGGTTTTCCTCGGGGGGGCGTAGGTGTGGCCAGGGTGGGTGTGGCCTACTGGGTGGGCATGGCCAGCTCTACATCGTTCGCGTCAAGGGTGCCTGTGGGGGCCTGGGCAGGAGTGGGACAGACCTGAGGGTCTCTGGCAGAAGGGGATGGGACCGGGGCAAGCACCAAGGCATGGTCCACTGGAAGAGCCTCACTGTTCCGCTCCTTCCTTCAAGAACAGAATGGTGGGAAAATATTTGAGATGAAGGAGGGAGAAAAACAGGCAAGAAACGCAGTTGGGGAGGTGTCACCCTTCATGAGGAATGAAGAAATGCACCATTGCCTGGAAGTGGCCAGCACATGGCCCTCACCTACTTCACATATCTGCCTTGGTGGGCTTTGGGGGAGTGGACGCCATGAGCAACGTGAGAGTTGATGTTACCTGCGCAATGCCGTCCAACCCCCAGCCTGCCTGGTTTCGGCAGGCAGTGGGGCGTTCTCCTCACAGCACCGAGAGGCTGAGCCAGGCAGTGCGAAGCTTGCCAGCTTTGCACCTTGCTGCCTGCTGAAATCGGGCAGGCTGGGGGCTGAGCAGCATCGTGCTTCTTTTCGGATTTGCGCCGCCTAGCTCAGCCTCTCGGTGCTGTGAGGACAGTGTCCCACTGCCTGCTGAAACCCCTCCCCCGAAGCCCATCAAGCCAGATATGTGAAGTAGGTGAGGGCCATTTGCTGGCCATTTCCAGGTGTTGGTGCATTTCTTCATTCCTCACAGAGGGTGACACCTCCCCAGCGTGCGCCCAGGGGGAGGGGCCAATGCAGCAGGGGCCGGTCCCTTGCTGTTTCCAGATGGCCTTGTGGAGCTAAGACTGAATGTGTTTTAGCATAGTTGGCCACCATAAAATTGTACATTGACTCCCGGGCAGCCTGGGCCAGGGCCAAGGCAGTGGGGGCCATTCCCTTACTGTTTCCAGGATGGCTTCGCAGGCCACATGAAACCACGTTGCGGTCCGCATCCGGCCCCCGGGCGTTGTGCTTGACATGTCTGTTCTAGAGAGTCTAAAGTTTGTCATTAAAATTATAGTGCACTCTCTGTCAGGAATTCAGCAGGCTTATCAGGATGTAGCTGCAATTTTTACAGGGTCTGAAATGTGGATCTGGCTCAATACCATGAGAAGAGATGATGGAGTCTAATAAGCTAAGCAATATATTAAAAAGATATATGGCATTTATGTTTGGTTTAAGTGTTTATGGTTTCTATTTAATTACTCATTAGGTGATAAAGCCCTAGATGGTTACAGCAAGAAAAAATATGTCTGCAAGCTGCTTTTCATTTTTCTCCTGGGACATGATATTGATTTCGGCCACATGGAGGCTGTGAATCTCCTCAGTTCAAACAAATATACAGAGAAACAAATTGTAAGTAATGTCTCATATCTACACAGTAAAATTGTAGTTACCTTGCTTACCTGCTGGGCAGTGGTGGGATTCAAATACGTGAACAACCGGTTCACTGCGTGAACGCCGCTTCTGAAAGTCTGTTCTGGGCCTGGCATGCCGTTCTGGGCCTGGGAGGCCTCCCTGGGCCTCCGAGGCCCAGAACGGACTTCCGGAAGTGGCATCCACGCATTTCTGGCAGGCTGTTCTGAGCCTGGGAGGCCTCCCCTGGGTCTCCGAGGCCCAGAACGGACTTCCGCAAGCGGTGTCCACACACTTCTGGCGGCTTCCCAGGCCCAGAATGGACTTCTGGAAGCAGCGTCCACACACTTCCGGAGGGCCGTTCTGGGTCTCACAAAAGGGCTAGGGCTTTTAAATTTTACATTTAATCTCTATTTTAATGTTGATTTTATATATTTAAAGCCTTTTTTTTATATATGTATTATTTTAAATTGATTATTATACACCACCAGAGACTTTCCTCATGAGATGGGTGGCTATACAGGTAGTCTTGGACTTAGAACAGTTCGTTTAGTGACTGTTCAAAGTTACAACAGCACTGAAAACTGTGACTTATGACCATTTTTTTAAAGTTACAAACTTTGCACCGTCCCCATGATCATGTGATCATAATTTAGATGCTTGGCAACTGGTTCATATTTATGACCTTTGCTGTGTCCCAGGGTCATGTGATCACCTTTTACGACCTTCTGACAAACAAAATCAATGGAGAAGCCAGATTCACTTAATAACCAGGTTACTAACTTATCAACTGCAGTGATTCAGTTAACAACTGAATTTGTTGTGGCAAGAAAAGTCATAAAATGGAGCAAAACTCACTTTACAAATGTCTCACTTAACAACAGAAATTTTGGACTCAATTGTGGTCGTAAGTCGAGGACTACCTGTGTCAATTTAATTAATTAGTAAACTGATATAGCATCCAATCTTCATTTAGTTGGCAAATTCTAGGAGTTGTCCAGTACATCTGAAATGATCCACATTGCTGCATGATGTAGTAATAGATTATTGTTCTACCAAACATCATTCATATGACAGTTTTCATAACCAAAGTGGGGTAAAAAAATATTTGCAAAGATAAAGAAAATGAGAAAGCTGGAAGACAGACTGATGTTAAATGAGTGGCTAATGAAGCAGCAAATAAGAAATTTTTTTTGAGCAATCTGTATTAAGCCAATTTTCTATGCATTAAATCCAGTGCTGTTGTAAGAAGGTTTAGAAGTAGTGTACTGATAGGTACATTGGTAAGGGAACTACTTAGTAAATAGCTGTCAACAGTGTAAGACAAAATGCATTTCAGAATGCATCTTATGTTTATGCTTGCCCACAACAGTAATTTGACTGTTGATTTAACAGTTTACAATCATAAACTAATTAATTTAATGAAAGCTTTCTTCTAAAAATTTGTTTATAATGAATTGTGAACAAAATATTAGTTTTAAAAAAAATCAGAAACATTGTTACTTGTAACATGCAAACATCTTAGAAACATAAGCACATACTGATCTTTTGTACACATATGTGTTTTTTCCATCTCTGTAGAGTCATTACTGGCTGAACACACTGAGTCATCCTGCAGTCTAAAATCTGTACTGAAGCATACATTTTTTTTTCTAATAATGTTCATAATCCTTCAGGCATAATCTGCAGAGGGCCACATGCTTGGTGGGGTGAAACAGACAGGGAATGAGATCAGAACTAAAGGCTAGATGGATTTCAAGTTTATTATTATGATCAAAGACCCAAAGTATACAAAGAAAAAAAATGGTAAAATTGCTAAAAATGTAAGATACATCAATTCAGTTAAATTTATTCTAAGCAGTCATTGTGTATTCTGCAAGCAATATAACAATACTTAGAAATATTTAATGCAGTAACATCATGCTTTTCTGGCAATAGATATTGGCAAGAGAATAAAACTGAAGGCCTTTAGCTATTAATCAATTGTACCAAAAGCTAGGCCCTATTGATACTTTTTAAATATAAATTACATTAAAAGTTTGAATTAGTTGCCAGTCTCTTCTAAACATTTCCTTATTCATTTGATACATAACCTTTGAACAATCTTAAGTACAATAACTTTTTATCTGGAAAAAAGTAATTAAATCAAACATATTGTCATTGGCCTATGGGGCCTGACATTTGCTTCATTCTGTATATATTTTTGTCAGGTCTTTTATCTTGCCTGGAGAAGCCGAATCTTCCAATAGGAATTTCCTATATAGCTGTTGGTCGCACATTAAAGTTCTCCTATACTTTGAAATTTCATTTTGAAATACAGATAGTTCTCGACTTACAACTGTTCATTTAGTGACCATTCAAAGTTACAATGACATTGAAAAAAGTGACGTATGATCGTTTTTCACACTTAACAGCCGTTGTAGCATCCCTGAGGTCATGTGATCAAAATTCAGCCACTTGGCAACTGGTTCACGTTTATGACAGTTGCAGTGTCCTGGGGTCATGCTCTCGCCTTTTGCATCCTTCTGACATGCAAAATCAATGGGGAAGCCAGATTCACTGAACAGCTGTGTCACTAGCTTAACAATTGCAGTTTCATTTAACCAGCAAGAAAGGTTGTAAAATGGGACAAAATTTACTTAGCAAATGTCTCAACAACAGAAATTTTTGGTTCATTCGTAGTCGTAACTTGAGGACTACCTGTATCTAGCTGAACTGGAGGGGTACTTATTCTCCGACACCAATTGTTCTCTCTTCTCTATACCGTTTTCTTCCTTTTAAGCAACTGATTTGGGGTAAGAGACCATATTTATCAGAGATATGAACTGATACCCTGGAATTCTGAAATTGCATCAAGAATCCCCTATGGCTGTGAGTTATATGCTGTTTGCAGCTATTGCAGAAAAGCCTAGAATGAAATGGGATGTTAGTGGTCATCAGCTTCTATTATACCATCCTAATTCTAGTCCCACTCATGATGTTGTAATTGGTTGCCAGCATACTGACTAGACCAGGGGTAGGCAACCTTGGCTCTTTTATGACTCGTGGACTTCAACTCCCAGAATTCCTGAGCCAGCCATGCTGGCTCAGGAATTCTGGGAGTTGATGTCCACGAGTCATAAAAGAGAGCCAAGATTGCCTACTCCTGGACTAAACTTACTTCTTAGCTGCTGTGGAGTACTCGGTAAGTGAAATGTAATATAATTGAGGACTCGGAAGTAGACTGATACAGAGAACTTAGATCTAGTTTGATTTCTTAAAAAACTATGTCCTTGGCATTGAAACAAAAAAGGTACCGTATATACAGTATAAACCGTGCTGCATTTATAATATACCAAGAAGCAAATGATTATACAGCAGTTTTACACATACAAAACGCCTCCTACGTAGTTGCTGGAACATGTAATCATCTTGTTGAGAGAAATACATGTATAGGTTCTACCTTCTTTTAAATTGAAGCCTAAGCATTTGGTAAACATTGTTTATCTCAATCTCACTGTGGTATGTTTTTTTTTTTAAAAAAAGTTAAAAATAGTTCATGGCAATGCTTCTGAAAAATCAGTAAGATATTACTACTACTACTACCACTACCACCACCACTATTATTATTACTACTACTACTACTACTACTACTACTACTAATAATAATAATAATAATAATAATAATAATAATAATAATAATAATAATAATAATAGAGTTGGAAGGGACTTTGGGGGTCTTCTAGTCAAACCCCCTGCTCAGGCAGGAAACCCTATACCATTTCAGACAAATGGCTATCCGGTCTCTTCTTAAAAACGTCCAGTGTTGGAGCATTCACAGCTTCTGGAGGCAGGTTGTTCCACTGGTTAATTGTTCTGTCAGGGAATTTCTCCTTAGTTCTAGGTTGCTTCTCTCTTTGATTAGTTTCCATACATAAGATATAAGTTAAATGAAGGCTTTCAATGCTAGTCATCCCTTTAGCATTTGAACACATTTTTCTTGCCTGAAATTAAACAAAGTCACAAAGCAAACCTGTAGATAGTAAATTGGCCAAACCTTAAAATTTTGTTTGCATTTGTGATATAGGTGGTATGATCAAGTTAAGACCATATTGGAACCTGCCCATTACGCTTGTAACTCATAACAGTTGTAAAGTGGGTTGGTCACATGATTGACCCAATTTTATGTCTCTTTTGTAATGGTCATTAAGTGAATCACCATGATCATTAAGTAAATCCACTGTAGTTAAGCCAAACAATTATTTGTTACAAGTATAATTTTGCCAAAAATTAGAAGTAAAAGCATGATCATAGGACTGCAAATGCAGGTCATTTGCCAAATGCCTGAAGTGCAGTCACATGACTGCGGAGGGGGAACTGTCATAACTTTGAATCCGGGTCATAAATACCCTCCCACATAGAGCCATTGTAACTTTAAATGGTTGCTAAGCAACCAGTTGTAAGTCAAGAACTACCTGTAATTTTATGACAGTAGTATATCTAACTTTCTCATAATAACATTTCATCAGTCTGATTCTTGCATGAAAGGGCATTATGATCAAGAGTCTTGGACATGTCCCTCAAATTGTATAACTTAAAGCTCCTGTACAAAGTTTTATGTGCTTAATTATATGTCTGTACACATGGGGTCCTTTTCTCCTAATGACTTTCTGCAGTGCTTTTCAAAATGCATCTGAAAAGCTGTTCTGAGTGATCTTTTTGAGGAATGTTAGGGAGCAAATTGACAATAATCCAGATGTCCTTTCTGGTATATAGCTGTTTGCCAGCATGACTTTTCAAAAGAATCAAAACTGTACTAATTCAGTCTAGTTCAGTGTCCCCAACTGTCTAGTTCATCCAAAATTTGCATTGATTTTTAACTACAGTGAAAAATTGCTGCAGTGTAACATGTCTTGCTTCAAGGCCAGGACTAAAAAATGATTCTTGATTCTCTGTATAATCCACATGCAGGAACCATTTTACAAAACCCTCCAAATAACATGTTAAACACTTTCCAGTTGACTCACCACTAATTATTCTTTTAACTCTAGGGTTATTTGTTCATCTCCGTGCTTGTGAATTCGAACAGTGAATTGATACGTCTGATAAACAATGCAATCAAGAATGATTTAGCTAGCCGGAACCCCACTTTCATGGGACTAGCTTTGCACTGCATTGCCAATGTGGGTAGCAGAGAAATGGCCGAAGCATTTGCTGGTGAAATTCCCAAAATACTGGTAGCTGGGTAAGTAATATGCGCAAGCTGAGTATTAGTAGGCAATTGAGTTTATTCTGTTAGATATAACAAGTATCATATCGTATTTAAACACTCTTTTTCTTCCCATTGGTGGTTGATTATGTTTTTAAGGCTATACATTTTTTTAAAAAAAATTGCCTTAGAATTGGCTTTATTAGATTGTTAAATTTTGCCAACTTGCTTAAGTGCTAGTTTAAATGCGGTGCCAAATTTATATGAACGTCCATTTATATTTCTGTATTGTTTTGCAGAAGTTTTTTTTTTATTTTTTATATTTACTACTCATATTTATATACTCACCCATCTCATCAAGGGTAAAATCTTGAAGCTCATATGATGCAAAAATCTCTTTAATGTGTTTGCATGCTGTAGTGAACTAATGTTATCTTTATGATAGTAAGAGGCAACCTTATAAAGAAAATCTAAACTTTGAAATGTTTTATTAGAACTAGGTGTTTAATTACAGTGAAAATAAACCTTTTATTTTACTGAGCTAATATAACATAGGGATGTGCAGCCTTATAGGCTTAAGAAAATTTCTTGGAGGCAAGTAACCTTATTTTATACATGAAATCTGATAAGTTGAAATAGTGTATGAATTGTAAAATGATGTGTGTATTGGCAACATTCATTTCCCTATTGTGATAGTTCGTTTAGGAATTTTGCAGTATATTCATTTTTCTGGTAAGTGAACATGCTTCCTTTTCATTCAAATTTAGATGGGTACGCCAGTAGATTACCTGTGCACCTATGAACCCCGATCCCTCGGTCTTCTAGAAAATGCCTCTATAAAATTTGATGTAACTGGAAAAGTTATATGCTACATCAGTAACAAAGTGATAGGAAATCTAAAATTATTTTCCATCTCCTTTTCTCACTGGGGTACAAAAGATTCCAGTTTATAGAATCAATTGCTCAGCTAGATGATTAATTTCCAATTACTTCTGTAGGAGGGAAGTTTTTCTTTTCAGTATTATAACTGTCTGTCTCAGGGGGTTTGGGGAGAACTTTACAATTATTAACAGGAATTTATTTGTTTTTGCAGAGACACCATGGATAGTGTAAAGCAAAGTGCAGCCCTGTGCTTGCTACGATTATACAGAACGTCTCCTGATCTGGTGCCAATGGGAGACTGGACATCAAGAGTTGTGCACCTTCTCAATGATCAGCATCTGGTAAGCACAGCTGAATACATTCCCTAGTTGGAGGTTTTCTCCAAATCATATCCAAAGTATGAGATGTTCCAAGGAAACCACATAGATTGTCCTTGTCCTGTCTATACTTCGAAGAAGTTTTTGTTTTTAGCATTTTTGCCCCACAAGAACTGAGAGTCTATTAGTTCTTCCAGAATTGCGGAGCAGAAACATTTTTTTTTAATTCTACAAATCTACTCATTAACTGAGAATTATGGAGTACTGTCAGACTACAAATTGCTCATTTATAGAGAATTCAGGTCAATTCAAACTAGGCAGAAGCTCTGTCCCAGCTTCCAGTTTTTCACTTAACAATAGCACCTCCATCTTGTCTGGATTTCATTTCAGCTTGCTCTTCCTCATCCAGCTCATTATTGAATTTAGGTAAGGTTCAAAAGTATCAATTGCTTATTTGGAACTGGATGATAAAAGGCAATTGAGTGGTTTGTCATTAGGTTACTGATGACCAGTGCTTTTTTGGAAAAAAAAAAAAAAGGTGCCGGAACTCACACATGTTATACAACCCGCCTTGCCTATCCTACAAGGTTTACCTTTGTAGTTAAAAAAAAACAAACCTTCAATTTTTAGTGTATCTAAAAGCCTAGGATTTTGTTCAAGGTAAGTTGATACTATTAATGTTACCATGCACTGTGTGGCTTTAAATTACAAGAAGGCATTTTATTAATCTTTTGGGACATTTACCACTGGCATACCCATTTAGTTTAATGAATGGAAATGTCAGCTTTCTATGTGGAATGAAATTGGCCCAATAAAACAAAATTTGGTTGCTTCTAAAAGATTGAATTATTTTTAAGAAGTTGTCAAACAAGGTGGAAAATTTACATTTGGAGTTTAATATGGATATTGACTTGAAACAAATTAAAGTTGAAACTTTAACTCGGTGAACAGATTACTTTTAATTTACCTTTAAGTTAAACCCAATTTAATAAATAGATCTGATTAAACCTCATACTGTAGGTCTACCTTCACATCTGACCAATACATAATTAATATATATTATTATTAATAATACCTCCAAATCACAAGACATTGGCTTTATTCTTATTCTTCCCCTCTGCAGTTTGAATATAAAGTATAAAAAGACTAAAAACAGATTTTCGTAGACATCCCAGCCTTTGAACTACCCAAGGAACTGAAACAGCAAAGTTTCACTTTCACACTAGTTGCCTTTCTTTCCTTTCGCTTCACCTCTTTTTAAAAAATAAATAAATATTTTATTAAGTTTTATAAAGGTATGGGGAAAAAAGGGTCGGTAGGTACAACAATGGGGTTGCCCCCAATGACATTCCAAGCTTTAGCAAGCAAACTATCATCCGGGTACAAGTATTCAGTGGGAATAGTTAATATAATAATAAGTAACTGTAGTCAACAAAAACAGCAATAATTATAAAACATATCAATTAATCAATAAGCATCAATCATCTTACTAAATTTCAAAATCAATTTTCATTAACTCATTTTGCTAACCATTGATAAAAATTTTCCCATGTTTTAAAATAAACTTGAGTCTTCTTTCTCTTTAATCTCTAAAGTTAGTCTATCCATTTCTGCACATTCTAGAATTTTCCTAATTATGATCTTATCCGATGGTACATTTTCATTTTTCCAATATTGGGCAAATGCTAGTCTCGCAGCTGTCAATATATGTAATATTAAATACTCATTCTCTTTGCCATAATTAGATCCTAGTATTCCTAACAAAAACAATTCTGGCTTAAATTCTATCTGTACTTTAGTCATCTTTTCTAGCCATATATGAATCTTGGACCAAAATTTCTTTGCACTAGGACATACCCACCAGATATGGTAATAAGTACCTGGCTTTTGTTTACATTTCCAACAGTTATTCGAAACACTTTTAAACATTTTCGCTAACCTTACTGGTGTCATGTGCCATCTATAAAACATTTTATACAGGTTTTCCTTATATGAGGCTGCTTTAGTCTCAATAGTAGTAACTGCGAGAGGGACCTCGGAGTCCTAGTGGACAATCATTTAAATATGAGCCAGCAGTGTGCTGCAGCTGCCAAAAAAGCCAACACAGTGCTAGGCTGCATTAACAGAGGGATAGAATCAAAATCACATGAAGTATTAATACCACTTTACAATGCCTTGGTAAGGCCACACTTGGAATACTGCATTCAGTTTTTGTCACCACGATGTAAAAAAGATGTTGAGACTCTAGAAAGAGTACAGAGAAGAGCAACAAAGATGATTAGAGCACTGGAGGCTAAAACATACAAGGAACGGTTGCTGGAATTGGGTATGTCTAGTTTAACGAAGAGAAGGACGAAGGGGGACATGATAGCAGTGTTCCAATATCTTAGGGGCTGCCACAAAGAAGAGGGAGTCAGGCTATTTTCCAAAGCGCCTGAAGGCAGGACAAGAAGCAATGGGTGGAAACTAACCAGAGAGAAGCAACCTAGAACTAAGGAGAAACTTCCTGACAGAACAGTTAACCAGTGGAACAACCTGCCTCCAGAAGCAGTGAATGCGCCAACACTGGAAGTTTTTAAGAAGAAACTGGACAGCCATTTGTCCGAAATGGTATAGGGTTTCCTGCCTGAGCAGGAGGTTGGACTAGATGACCTTTGAGGTCCCTTCCAACTTTATCATTATTATTATTGTTAATATTTCTATCCAAAAGCTTTTGCCAAGCTTCTAAATCTATAGAGTATCTGAAATTTTTTGCCCAAACTATCATTGTCTCTTTTACTTGTTCTTCCATCTTCCATTTCAGCAGAAATCTATAAAGTTTCTTAATCAAATTTTCATGTGTTTTCAAGAGTATTTGATCAAAATCTATTTATTCTTTATAAAATCCCAATGTCTTTAGGTCTTTCATATATCTTGTTTGGATTTGTAAGTAAGGCCATGATGATAAGTCAATACCTTGTTGTTGTAGATCTTGCCTATCTTTAAGTTTTCCATCATCCAAAATGTCTTTATAAGTAACAAGTTTGTCATAATTGATTAAATTTGGGTAAGCAAAAGCTTCCATTGTTGAAAGCCACTCTGGTATTTTAATATAATTTTTTTGTTTTATTCTCTCCCATTCTAAAAGGAGTACATTCCTTATAGCATGGTTTTGAAAGTATCTGGGTATTTTATTTTTCCCATACCACAGAAAGGCATGCCAACCCAGTTGTAGGTCATGCCCCTCTAGGTAGAGAAGTCTTTTATTTCTCAACGTTATCCATTCTTTGATCCATGGTAAAATGCCTGCTTGATAGTAAAGTCTCCAGTCTGGGAGTCTAAATCCTCCACTATCTTTGGCTTCTTGTAACAATTTAGCTTTAATTCGTGCTTTCTTCCCTTGCCATATAAATCTTAATGTTGTTGCATTTAAATCATCAAAGAATGTCTTTCCCAATTTTACGGGAATTGTTTGAAATAAGAAGAGTAATTTCGGTAGGACATTCATCTTCACTGTCGCTATTCTTCCTAGCAGTGACAGTTGGAGGTTTTTCCACTTTTCCAAATCTAATTTTATTTGTTTCAACAATCTTTCATAATTATCTTTTTTTAATGTTGTACATCTTGATGTTAAGTAAATGCCCAGATATTTCACTTTTTTAACTATTTGCAGGTTTGTCTTTTTTGTAATATAAGTTTTCTGTTTGTCTGTTAAGTTTTTTGTTAATACCGTAGTCTTTTCTCTGTGTATTTTCAAGCCTGCCACTTCTCCAAATTTTTCAACAATTTAGTAGTTGTTTCTAGTGGATCTTCCAAAATGAAAACCAAGTCATCTGCAAAAGCTTGTAATTTATATTTTTGGTCTTTTATCTCCAATCCTTTTATTTCCAAGTCCTGCCTGATATTTCTAGCCAATACTTCCAATGTTAAAATGAATAGCAAAGGGGATAGTGGACAACCCTGTCTTGTGCCTTCGCTTCCCCTCTTTTTAACATCACACCCCACCTTCTGTAAGGGAAGGCAAAAGGCTCACTCACCTTCTCGTGAAAGATGGCCTCCATCTTTATGTGTCTCCCACCACCACCATCGGCTTCCACATTACATGGTCTGACCCAGCCAATCAAGCCACGCTCTGGCTGTGGTGCTCCGGCACCTCATGGCTCCTCCTAGAGGAAGCAGACAGCACCAGAGGGGACTCGGCTCGCACTGTACCACCAGCGGGGCATTTTCAAAAACAAATGAGGATAGGAAGGGAAACAATAGGAAAAGAACCCAACTTTGGAAAATCCATTGAAAAAAGATGCCGGAACTCTGTTCCGGTGCATTCTATGACAAAAAAGCCCTACTCCAAAATTCTAGATGTCTTAGATGTTTGACAACATAAGGTATAAAAGGAAAACTGGAGTTTCAACAGTAGTCCCTCAGCACCACCTTCTGGACATGGCATGAGAAGGTCTGGAGTAACTTAAAACAGGTGCTCCTGATGCCAATCCACAGTTGATTGGGAAGGGTAACGGGGGAGAAACAGGATCAAATATTCTGGCAATTAGATTTTGCTTTGCAGTGTCCCTTTTTCTTAATAAGGTAATTTAAAAAGCCATATTAACTCTTTAGTGCACCTCAAATACCTTTAGAAAATATCTGATTGATGAATACTGAGTTATGCTATGAAAAGTTCTTACTTGCTTATATTTCTTACATTTGAGAATAAAAAAAAATCTCACTTGAAGTAGAGAAAGAACGCTACTTTTAGGTAGCCTATTTAGTTTAGTAGAATTCAGAGATTCACCACCTGAAGTTCCGTGTAAAAAATATGTGTTAAATTAAAGAACACAATGGTCTCATGGGTAGCTATGAAGCTAAGGATCTTGATTTGACAGACAAGCTTACAATCCTATAACCTTGCACTTGCCTTAGACTTTCTGCATTTCAGCAATATTAGTTTGAGATTTGTTGCTGTGACAGTATTTTGAAGACACCTTGACTGTTATTAAATCTAATTAAGTACCATTACAATATGAAATTCCCTTTCATCAAGTTTATAAAATGAAATATGAAACCTGATTGTATTCTTTGCGCATAATAATGACATTGTGTACTTATGATGAATTTAAGCCTGGAAACTTTACAGGAACTATAAAATTGCTTTTTTTCAGGGTGTGGTTACAGCTGCTACCAGTTTGATCACTACTCTGGCACAAAAGAATCCAGATGAATTTAAAACCTCAATATCTCTGGCTGTTTCCAGGCTTAGTAGGGTAAGTAGATTGTTGGCTAGACATAATGGTGGAACAAAATAAGTCTAGAATGTAAAACAGGATAATTGATTAGGTTAATCATTTCAATTCTTACCTGTAAAATTAAAGTATGATTGATACTAGGACCAATCTGACAGTTGGCTTGTTTACAGTAACCCTCTTAAGCCCTTTTTAATGGATTTTGGTGACTTATCTGTGAGCCTCAGATTTGTGGTAAGATTATATTTTCAGCCCACCCATTGTTATTAGATTTTTATGTTGGCTTTTATATATTTTGTTCAACTCAAAGTGGAAAACATACTGTACATAGTACTGCTGCCTCCTATTTTCCCACAGCTACCCTATAAAATTTACCCCCTAAATATAGGTATAAACAATCCTAAGTATACTTATGGAGAGCCACTTTGGTATAGTGATTAAGATATCAGGCTAGAAACTGGGTGATTATGAATGCTAGCCCTGCCATAGACTGGGACTTTAGCCAGTGACTTTCGCTCAGCTCTAGGAAAGAGGCAAAGGCAAACCACTTCTGAAATGTTTCCAAGAAAATGACAGGAACCTGTCCTGGCAGTTGCCCAGAATCAAGACTGACTCAAAAGAACAAAAAAAAGTATATTTAAATATTAATTGGACATATCTTTTATTCAGATTATTCACCATTTTTATGGGCTTACCAACTGAGGTATTTAAAACAAAGCCATTAGCTTATTAATTATAGAGTCCAGGAATCTATTTTATCAATTGGACAAAGAACAAATAATACAAGTTGAATAGCGTCTATAGATTCTATTCTGTTGGGTGCTATATTTTTATCCTGTATGCATAGTTGGTTTGGCCAAGCTTTTTCCTAATTTTATTAGTGTCTTGAAAATTGTTCTCTATTCAGCAACATGCTACTGAATAAATATTCTCCTGATTTAACTTCAGAAATCTGATGCTTTTTCTTTTTTGGATGATTTCTTTACATAAATAGAATGACCTCTGCCAGCATAACTTCCTGTTCTTTGTCCCAGAGAGACTGAGCAAGATATAGCAGTATATTTTTGTTAAATATGTAAATGTATTATATTGCAATCTTAGATAGTGAAGATTATCTGAGATGATGGCATCTTTGCCTCTCCTGGAGGCAAAATTTTAGTTCCTAAAGGAAAAACAAATACTTTTTAGGCCTGTGTATAAACCACAACTTCTTTTTATGAAAGCATTGTCTTTAATTCCAGTCAGGTGAAATCTTTAACAATAGAAATGGAACCTTGGTGCAACTTTAGGAATTTTCAAATGTTAATTCTAGCCAGAAGCAATTTATGTAACTGACTCTGATAAAGGTCATGACCTTCCTTAAATCTATTATAAAAGCTGACCTATCAGGCATATGACTCTTTCAAATGCTGGTAATGGGACAGTAGGCCAATTTAACAAATGCAGAACAGACTAATACATGTGTATCCATCCTGAAACACACTACTATGCTTGTGCCTACATTATCATATTGTATCTTTGCTGTCCAGTCAGAGGAGGAGTGCAATGTGGGAATGACAGAGTACAGTATGCAGAATATCTCCTAAAACATTTTATCTAGTATGAACTGCTTCCCACTTGGAGGTCATTCCCAAAAGCCCTTGCCAATAATATGGGAGAGCAAGAGATGATCACCCCAGGACCAATGCACCAAGGCACCAGTTGAGGTATCCGGGATATCAAAAATATTGTGGCTGTTACTCTGCTTGCCATTTAGCATTTACTAAAGATAGGGCCAGGTCTGCATTCTGAAAAATTGTATAATTAACTTCCTACTTTCTTATGAATGAAACTAATTTTAAGTCTAAATAGAGTACAGAAACATATCTATAAGGAACAAAGCATTGTACGCAAATTCCTTTACTAATGTGCCCCATTTCTCTACGATATGAGATCTGTGTGGACTTTCTGTATTTGCTGGAATTTGCTATTTAATGGTTCTCATATAGAAGAGAATCCTTTGCTAATTATGGATATAAATGAATATACAAAATGCTGAAGCATGTGTGCATATGCATATTTGTATGCTAAGATAGAAAAATGTGGGTTAGACAGCATCACCACCAGGTGGATTCGTAGCTGGCTGACCGTACTCAGCGTATGGTCCTCAATGGAACTGCATCTACATGGAGGGAACTGTGTAGTGGGGTGCCCCAGGGCTCTGTTCTGGGCCCAGTGCTCTTCAACATCTTCATCAACGATTTGGATGAGGGGATAGATGGGGAACTCATCAAATTTGCAGATGACACCAAGCTGGCAGGAATAGCCAACACTCCAGAAGACAGGCTTAAGATACAGGAGGACCTGGACAGACTTGAACACTGGGCGCTATCTAACTAAATGGTGAAAAAAGTAAGGTTCTACATTTAGGCAAGAAAAACCAAATGTACAGGTATAGTATAGGGGGGTACCTTGCTCAATAGTAGTAACTGTGAGAGGGATCTCGGAGTCCTAATGGACAATCACTTAAATATGAGCCAGCAGTGTGCTGCAGCTGCCAAAAAAGCCAACTCAGTGCTTGGCTGCATTAACAGAGGGATAGAATCAAGATCACGTGAAGTATTAATACCACTTTACAATGCCTTGGTAAGGCCACACTTGGAATACTGCATTCAGTTTTGGTCACCACAATATAAAAAAGATGTTGAGACTCTAAAGAGTACAGAGAAGAGCAACAAAGATGATTAGGGGACTGGAGGCTAAAACATATAAGGAACGGTTGCTGGAATTGGGTATGTCTAGTTTAATGAAGAGAAGGACGAGGGGGGGCATGATAGCAGTGTTCCCATATCTCAGGGGCTGCCACAAAGAAGAGGGAATCAAGCTATTCTCCAAAGTGCCTGAAGGCAGGACAAGAAGCAACGGATGGAAACTAATCAAGGAGAGAAGCAACCTAGAACTAAGGAGAAACTTCCTGACAGAACAATTAACCAGTGGAACAACCTGCCTCCAGAAGCGGTGAATGCTCCAACACTGGAAATTTTTAAGAAGAGACTGGACAGCCATTTGTCCGAAATGGTGTAGGGTTTCCTGCCTAAGCAGGGGGTTGGATTTGATGACCTCTAAGGTCCCTTCCAACTTGATGATGATGATGATAATGATGATGATGTTAAGTGCAAGACCAGCCCATCCAGCTTTACACATATTACATGTGATACTCCTATACCCTGACATGACAGCAAAATGTGTGATGATGGTTCAACACATTGATTCTCTTTGTTTTTTGTATGTTATCAAAGTCTCTTCAAAATCCCAGCTTGCTTTCCCTTTTCTTTCATCAAACTTGGTTCAAAATGAGCATTTTCAATCCATGGTTATTCTGTTCTTTTTTTCCCTGACAAATTTCAAGGACAATATTTTCTCCCACCCATCTGTTAAAAAAAAGTGATATAATTGTGAATTTAGTAAGCAGTAAGTATTAAAGGCACATTCAAATACCGGTTTGATACAACTAAGTACATGTAGGCTTCTTATTTCCTGTTCTGTACCCTTTGATAATACTCGCACCTAGACTAGTGCATTTTCGTATTCATAAGGAGAAAAAAATACCCTTAAAGTTACTCCAGATAAGCTACCTCCCCAGAAGCCATTTTAGGTGTGTTTGAGTAGTGAAGAAGAGTTTTTTCCCTTCCTGTTTTGAGTGATCGGTCAGTTTTGACAGAAGCAGTTGCTGTGTATCTCTTCCATTAGCTGCCAGTTTCCTTTCCAGAAAAATTTTGGACTGCAAAAGTGGCCTAAAAACCAGGAGATGGTGAGTTCTAGTCCTCTGTTAGGCATGAAATTTGTCTGGATGACTTTGGCTGGATGACAAATTTGAATTATACAAAATAAAAGCAGCATTTAACAGCAACAACAGTAAGAATAAGAATATATCAAGAATCAATTATGCATTTGTTTGTATTTTAGAAGTCTATTGTTTCCAAGCATTGTGTAAATTAGTAGCGACTTATGTTAAAATATTTACTTTTGCCTTTTGTGTGCTCTGGGAAGCTGCTTGAATGTTTATGAATTTCTGGCACACCTTCCACTACATCAGTGCTCAAGCTTCTGTGTTTTATTTTCTTGAATTTTAATTCCTGTTTTCTTAGACTTCATTAAAATTCAGAATCTGCATTGGGCATTCCCTAGGCCAGGGGTAGGCAACCTCGGCTCTTTTATGACTCATGGACTTCAACTCCCAGAATTCCTGAGTCAGCATGAAGTCCATGAGTCATAAAAGAACCGAGGTTGCCTACCCCTGCCCTAGGCTTACAAAATGTCATCAGAGAGTAACAGAAAATTTCTGCTTTCAGATTGTGACATCAGCATCTACTGATCTCCAGGATTATACTTACTACTTTGTCCCTGCTCCATGGTTGTCTGTGAAGCTTTTGAGATTGCTGCAGTGCTATCCTCCACCAGGTGAAGTAATGAAAACTATCGTAGTTTCATGCTTCCTTTTAATTAGCAAAGAACAGCTAATAGCATTTGAAATGTATGCATGTGATCGTAGAGACAGCAGTGTATGAAATTAAGATAGCTATGTGCATGCTTACATGTGCTTAAAATCAACTTTTGCTCTTTGAATCCAAACTGCTGTAAAGGGATGGAGGTTTTTGGTATTTTTTTTTTTAAATAATAACAAGTGGCTGAACAAGCATATCTGGTTCTCATTATTTTGGAACAAATACAGTTTGGCTGAACAAACATTACCTGGATCCAACTCCTTTAACAGAATGCTGTTTGGCTCTTTCCTTGGTCTAGTGACATTTGGCTATTTAAAAAAAATGATTTAAATGATGGTATAGATGAAATCCTTACAACTTTATAGGAAACAGAAAGCTCAAGAGAGATCACTGACCCCATAAAAGGCAGAATAAAGATTAAAAGCAAATTTAGATTCTGGGCCAAAGCTGCAAGAGGCAGTTTAGCATCCGTAAGGTCAGAAAATATTCAGTAAAGAAGTACAGATTGGAAGAGGTCTGGCATTGTAGCAATATATGTGGAAAAGGCACCCTGGATAATCTCAAGTGGTGCATGAGCTGCCAATGTGATGCCACTACTAAAATGCAGTTGTAGGATGCAGTATCAAAAACATGGTGTCCAGAACTTGAAACAAAAGTTACATTATATTTTATACTTATCTGGTTGCTTCTGGAATATTGTTCTGGACATTGTTTTTTTAAAAATTGTTTATAAATTGGAGAAATGCAAAAGGAGAGAGGTATTTGTGTAACTGTCCAATGGGAAGCTTCTGGATATATTTAACTTGGAGATCTTAAGATGAGTGAAAGATGCAATTAAAGTTTTCAGATAACTGAGGTTTGCCATTCAGAGGAAAAAGCAAATGCACCCAAGCACAATATTAGGGTAGAAATTGCAGGAAGACAGATTTGAATTAAACTTTAGGCAAAAAATGTTCTTGTGAAGCCAGCATAAGGATTCTTGAATAATAAGTGAATGCTAAGCAGAGACTAGATGGCCATATATCATAAGTGCTATATTTACTGCTTGTGTTGGAGGTGTCTTCCAGATAACATCTGGAATAACATCTCCTGCAAGTATAACATTCCTGAGTCCCATATGTACATCTTGCTCTTGTGGGGCAAAAGGTCAAGACTATTACAATTTGAAAATGAATGTCCTTCCATTGCATCAAAACATGATTGGCTAGGAACTGTTCTCCTGCACTTAAATTCAGTTTGACTTATTTGTCTCCAATATTGTCAAATAGTCTAAAGCAGGGGTGTCAAACTCACAATGTCACATGACGTGTCGCAACGTATCACAACTTTTTTTTTCCATTGCCGGCAATGGGGTGGGCACGGTTTCGCTATGATGCATCCGGCCTGCGGGCCGGCAGTTTGACACCCCTGGTCTAAAACCAATTAGTTGTAATATAGATAGAAATGGTGACTGTTGGATTAGCTTATTAAGCAAGGATGGATTTCTCACCATTACTGATCCTTACTTACTCCATATATGCCTGATGCTAGAAAGCAGATTGCAGAAAATCAATCTTCCCTCCGTTCCATTTTGACAAGCCTACCCAGCTCTGAGAAACATTGTGGTGTAGGAAGATACTCTGTGGAATTTTTGTTTTAGTTCACTACTGCCACAAACATGAGCATTGCATGCAAGCTGTTGTCGTTTTTCCACTTAAAAATGTAACTTTCCCATTTTTCACATGCTTATGATTGAAATTATTTAACGCTGGGTATTGTATTGAAGTTAACAGATGCCTAGATCAGAAATCATTAGCTACTCTATACTTGCAGGAGAATGTTATTCCGGATGTTATCTGGAAATAGCACTGAGTTTTTCAATGAGACATTTAAAAGGTGTATAGTAATTGTATACAGTAATTTTACATTGTTCAGCGAATTTGCCTAATGAGTTTCTTTCTCCCAGAAGACCCTTCCGTTCGAGGGCGTCTCACAGAATGTCTGGAAACTATTCTTAACAAAGCTCAAGAACCTCCTAAATCGAAGAAAGTGCAGCATTCAAATGCAAAGAACGCTGTACTGTTTGAGGCGATTAGTTTAATTATCCACCATGACAGGTAAGATTTGGAGGAAAACTGTGCTTTGAAAACTGGCCTGCCGTTTTAAAACAGCACTGAAATGTCACTTTGCATGTCACTTCAAAGACCTGTTCAGTGGCCATTTCCAACTCGAATCTTACCAAATTTTTACCAAATTTGAAGAATTAGGAGCTGTTCGAACAACAATTTAAGTTATTCTAAAACTAAGCCAGCAGGATCGTTCTTGCTAGAAGACACCGTAACCCGCAACACGCCATAGCAATCTGGTCTTTCTTCCACTTGGTTGCTGGTACCGGGATTTGTATTTTGTCTTTCTTAAAAAAAAACAAAGAAGCAAACATGCAGGGTGTGGAGAGAGTAAGTCCTTTGTTTTATTTTTAAAATGAGCTCTGCATACCTGAAGCACAGGAAAAAAGGAGTATATAGGAGTGGCTCTGTTTTGCAGCTGTTCCTATACTAAACTTTGCTTTCCTGGAAGACTTACTGGTTGCTTAATCAATGAAGCCACATGCCAGCTATGGTTTCATGTGGTCTCTGCCTTAACCTCAGTCTGGATTTATTTCCGAGTTCACCCACAATCCTAAACTGAAACACTTGTTTGTTTAGCATGTTGTGTGAATCAGGAGCAGCCTGTGTGGGAGATATGAAAGATATTTTTTTTTCCTATTGAGATTGTATTCCATTTCAGAATTCTACCTAAAAGAATGACTTGAAAATGAGTCTCCGTCACATGTCTTCACAAGTATCCATAGTGCATCTCAGTCCTAGTTTTCCTCAGTCAGTCTTGAATTCATACACTTTCCCTTGAGAGGACACATATTTTTGAACTTAGTCAATCGTTGTCTTATTTGCTTACTTCATTTATTATCAATGTATTTTCATTTATTAAAAACAGTCCCAAAATAGGGGATGCTTTGATGATGCTGGGATAGCATAATAAGAATAAATGTAATCTTGTGGGTGAAAAAATCACAAGACACTGTTAAATTGTTTTTCTTGGGTAAGATTGATGCAAACAATACAAGTAGCTCTTGGTCCTAATTTTATGATCCAAGGTTTTGTGTTTCTGTGGTTGCTAAGGAGAAACCATAGCAGATAAAGATTTTTGTGTAGCTACAGGTTTTAACTTGTCTTTTGTTACTCTATAAACATGCAAAACAGCAGATGGGCTTTTCTGCATGTGTAAAGTACATTTTTAAAGATCCTTGTACCCAAGGTCTTGGTTTCCATAGTTGTAGAATGGAACTGAATCTTTATGAAGAACAAGGACCATCTGTACATATTTGCTTGGCAATTGCATGATATTATTTTGTCCTAATTCTTAAATTATGGGTGATGCTGCTCACCCATGGGTAATTCCCATGTGTTAGTAGTATTGTAAAGTCACATAGGAATGTCAGATCAGATGTTATTTCCTGAATCCAAGAATGATCACTCTGGAAGTAGAATAACACTCTCCCTATGCCAATAACTATACTGATGAGGTCATCCATATCACCAAAACTTTTAATTTTGATGAAATAGCATGGAAAGTAAATATGTCAACAGAAACAAGACAACATCTACATTTATTGGCGACTGGAAAAATCTTATGTTTTGTATAAAAATAAAAAAATGAATTTGTGATTTATGGTTTTGATCTTTAGACACGATAGAGCAACGGCTCCCAACCTTTTCTAGATCCCGCACCCCTAGAACACTTCTGATGCATTCTCGCATCCATTACAAAAGTTTGAAATAACGGCAACGAATTATGCATAAACACTATAATTTTGAAACCCCAAGTTTTCGCACCCCCTGGAATATCATCTCGCATCGCCAGGAGATGCGAGCGCCCCCGGTTGGGAAACCCTGTGATAGAGTATAGAAAGAAGAGAGTAACTTGAGAGAAGTTAAAATATAATTATACTTAATAACTGTCGTGAAGAATATCAGAAAATATTTCTTTATGCCTTTATCTTTCTTGTTTTTTCTACTTCTATTTTCTTTTTTACTACACTTTTAACTTTTTTATTTCTTCCTTTTTCACATTCTTTGTTCTTTGTTCTAATATAATTTGTAGTCGTTCTTATTCTTGAAACTGTGTGTGTGTGTGTATGTGTGTGCGTGCGTGCGTGCCATCAGGATTATACATAATTGACTCTATTACCCCAAAATGCACACTTCCAATCCTTATGAAATGCTGTGTGAAAATAATACAGATAAAACTTCCTGCTTTAAAATGGAATCGTACTTACTATTATTGCTAACATTCAGAAGATATTAGCTAGACTTTTAATGGTAGGGAAGATACCTTATAATGCTCTCATTAATGCTCTGTAGTACAATTTGTGCTACTGATTGTTACAGTTTGTTATCTTTTTACATTCTCTCTTCTGCCTAGTGAACCAAACCTGCTTGTTCGTGCCTGTAATCAGCTAGGCCAATTTTTGCAACACCGGGAAACTAATCTTCGTTACTTAGCATTGGAAAGCATGTGCACGCTTGCCAGCTCTGAATTTTCACATGAGGCTGTGAAAACACACATAGAAACAGTGATCAATGCATTGAAGGTAACATTTGGTTCTGTATATCGTCTACAATCCTGATTCTTCTGTTTAATTGATTTTTATTTTATTTGTTTAAATCATTTATAGAGCTGCCTCTCTTATCAGCTCTGGGGGACTCCCAATCAAAAGATAAAACAGTATAAAAATCATATTAAAATGATAAAACTAGACACATTAAACCTAGCACCCAAACAAATTCTGGTATGCATTTTATTGGTTTTTCTAGCTAGTTATCTCCAATTTTTTATTCAACTCTTGCAAACTATGATTTTTTTTTCCTTTGGAACTTCTTTAAAACATTTCATAACCCACAATAAGGTTCAAGTTTTTCCAATTAGGCCATGCTTGAACTGTAGCTCCCATTTTGTGCTACTATATAAAAATTTAGCAAGTACAATAATGCTGTGTTGGTAGTCCTAAGAAGAGCACTCTTTACCTATGAAGATGCAGAAAAGAAGGGAAAAAGATAAGAGCAGTTCTGGAGAAAGGAAGAGAAGTCAAAATTTATAGTGTGGGAGTTCCCTGCTTTCTGAAAATGTATGACTCCTGCATGATTGAAGCTAGGGCTGAACTTAACCACAGATAGACAATAATTTAGGAACAGGACATTCATTCCACAGGGAATGAAATTGAGAATAATTTGTACACTCCGTTCTTTCATCTTCCATTTTCTGCTGTGCCTCAATTCCTGTTTCTTCCTTGTCCCTTCTCTTGATGGTACTGGTTGACCCTTGGTATTCTGTTGCTTGAGGCAAAAAGAAAAAAAAGAAAAGTCTCTCCTATGCCTTGTACAAATGGCCAGATGACCCATTTTGAATCTTGTCTTCAGAACTGAAGATGGACTATTGTCCTTTGCTACACCTGCAAATGCCATTTAGCTTGGAGGAGGCTGAATAGGCAGTAAGGCATACAGCTTTCTTTTCTTTGCTATTGCTACTGTCTAAGCAAATACATTATATAGACCTGGCCCTATTACTAGGTTGGTGTCTCCCAATTAATCCTGGATACTTTCTAATCAGTTCAAGAAAGATTTTTTGGATAAGGAAAGATACTGGCCTTTTATTCTTTATTTCATCCCTGTTTTAAAGAGTTTCTAAGGCAGTGTTTCTCAACCTTGACAATTTTAAGGCATGTGGACTTCAACTCCCAGAATTCCACAGCCGGCAATGCTGGCTGTGGAATTCTGGGAGTTGAAGTCCACATGCCTTAAAATTGTCAAGGTTGAGAAACACTGTTCTAAGGACTCTGTGCAATATATACATATTTTTAATCCATTGAATTATCTTCTACTTTATCTTAAAGTTCCTGAATGGAACTTTAGTTCCACTGGCAATAAAACTGCTCTTTCAGACACTATACATTAATAGGCATTTTGTGCTAAGTACTGCTTAAGACTTCTTGATGTCATGACAAAAATTGCCTATTATTGATTCTGATTCAATTCTCGGTATCTCAATATTCTCAAAGTCTCATAGTATACTTACATGTTTGAAAATTATTTCATATCTTTCCCCAAAGTTTTTATGTTATAATTATGATGCTACTTCTAGACCGAGAGAGATGTAAGTGTACGACAGAGAGCAGTGGATCTCCTGTATGCTATGTGTGACCGAAGCAACGCCCAACAAATTGTAGCCGAAATGCTGAATTATCTGGAAACGGCTGATTATTCTATTAGAGAAGAAATTGTAAGTTTTTAACTATGTATCTTAGCTTTCATTGCACGCTGTGCATGTAATATGACAGGGTTTTATTTTGTTTTGACAATCTACATATCGTGCTTAAGAATTTCAATAGCAACTAAACTTATTTAAAAAGATATAACAATGAAGTTAGAAATGGTTTTGGGAACAGGAATTATTGTTACTACTTGGAGCTTGAAATATGGTGCTCTAGCATGCTATTCAAAGGAGTAACTAACCAATGGTCATACATAGAGTTTAGTGTTATAGCAAGAATTCCTCCCTATTAAAACGAGCATCATTTTTCTTCTGAACAAAAACCTGCTGCCAGCATTGCTCAGTTCATTAAACTGTGTATACAAACTGCTCATTGTCAAAAAAATATTTGCATTTGATTAGAATGCTGTATCAGGCCTTTGTTATTAGTTCAAAGATAAATGTTAATTTGTGTTGTACTAAATGGCTATTTGTTTTTTGTAACTGTAAAATAAGAAGGTAACCCATATTCCCTCCCTCCCTCCCTCCCTCCCTCCCTTCCTTCCTTCCTTCCTTCCTGCTAGGTACTCAAAGTTGCAATTTTGGCTGAGAAATATGCAGTGGACTACACCTGGTATGTGGATACCATACTGAATTTGATTCGAATTGCCGGGGACTACGTTAGTGAAGAAGTCTGGTACAGAGTAATTCAAATAGTAATTAACAGAGATGATGTTCAAGGATATGCTGCAAAGACAGTGTTTGAGGTAAGAAAAGGTTATTGTTTGGCAGTCCTTTCTACCTACAATTCATTGTAATCTATAATAAAAGCAAAATAGTTGTATAATTCATGAATAGAAGCCAAGTAGTTATGCGGAGGAAGACTTTTTTAAATGGATCTTTTTCTTTTTTTACTTCTTGTATTTCTTCTTGTTTTAGCAGTTGTTATTTTTAAATTACCTGGCTCTAATAGTTTGTAATTTTAGGATCTATATGTACCATCTGTAATTTAGTGTGTATCTATAAAACATTAATAGGTAACCTGTAAATAGTATTTTTTGATAGATGGGACAAGAGCTTTATAGAAAAAGGTAAAATGGATTTGATAGCTGATGATTTGTTAGTTACAAAAATGTGCAGTGTGATTCCTTTTTAATATATATAATGCTTTTATGAATGCGTAGCGTTATCAGACTAACCAGAACAAAAGGAGAGACAATGTGATATTAGATATTCTTCTTGTCAAGGCTCTTCCTTCATTTGATTTCCTTCGTAGCATCCATATTGGCCTATTATAGTTTTAAAGCTCTAATGTGGGTCCAGCAACCTTAGGCAGAAGCTCTAGGACTTACTTATCCAGTATTAAGAGCAAACTTCTTCTGGCTTGGCAAGGATCAGTGGGTACTTGTCAAGGTCAGCTAGCCATGAAGAGTCATATACTTAAAACTCAGCCTTGACCTGAAGATATGTGATAAAGCTTTGCTTGGAGAGAGTTTTCAAGAAAGTTATATGGTATTCTTAACATAGTTAAGATGTTCTTATTGCAGGTAACAAGTCATCTTTCATGTGTCTAACCCCTAAGTAATGATCCACTTTCTATCAAAAGCTGTGATACACAAAGAACCATTTTTTATTAGCAATGTGTGAGGCCAAGGTCATTGAAGGGAATAGTCAGACTCAAAAGCTGGCAGGAAACTCAATTTTCTATTCCCATTTTATTTTTCCCCCCAATTATTTTTCCTCCTAATTCAGTACATTGTTAGGGAAGGGACTGGGCATAACCTCTAGCAGCTTCAATTAATTGCCTGCAAAGGGTTTTTGATTCTAGTATAATTGTAAAGGTGCAGAAATGATATATTTAAGAATGGAGCTTATTTATTGAAAATAAATAATTTTCTCTACTAAAGATAAATGAGCATTATAAAGGTGTTTATCAAATGAAGTTGCTCTCCTGTGAAGTATCTTGTAAATTACTTGTTAAATTATTTTAAAATGTTGACTGAAGAATAGCTAATAAATATACTGCTCACAAAAATAAAGGGAACGCAAACCCCTTCAGTTCCATGGTAAAATGTTCCCTTTATTTTTCTGAGCAGTATATTATAAAACTGCATGTAACCAATTGGGGAGGAGAGGGGAGTGTGTTTCCTTACTTTGCAGTCTGTTTCCTTGAACAGACTTCTCTGGTTGATCTTGGCCATAATCTTGCCCTATGGATTAACTGTAGTTATTAGGGGAGGAGGTTTGTGGGTCTATTCCAAAGGCAGAATGTGGATCTAGGTATAAATAAGAACACCTCTACAAATTTTGAGGCAAAAACCCAATAGGGTTACCAATAAATATTTTTTCTTTATTGTATAATGTTTGTGTTCCTTATACATTTGGACCCTAAAAGAAGATTATGCACGTAACAGGCTATATTTTTTTTTCTTTTCATAGTGTTATAGATTTCCCTCCACACTAGGTGTTTGTGTACCCACTTTCTGAATTGGTAATTTTTTTATGCTTCCTAAATGCCTTTTTCAACAGGCTCTCCAAGCACCAGCCTGCCATGAAAACTTGGTCAAAGTGGGTGGCTACATCTTGGGAGAATTTGGAAACTTGATTGCTGGGGATCCAAGATCCAGGTAAAAACATAATAGCATCTGTAACATAATCACGCTGAGAACCAGCTCAGGCCTCATGTGACTAAATTTGTATTTGGATCTGGTTATCCCACTATTACTCCAGTCCCCTAATCAGTATACCATTGCTGTCTTTTAAGAAGTAGGATAACTCTCCCCAGCACGATTCTGTGTAGCCAGATTTTATTCAGATTATTTCTCTATTTAAAGCAGAGGTAAGCAATGTGTTTGGGATAGTAGGCACATCTATCATTTTTAGAGATTTGATTGCAGCATAGTAGTATTCTATTTTTTAAAAAATTGAAAAGAACCTTTAAAAAATAAAGTTACAATTTTTAAAAACTGTGAGAACCAAGAGAAATGTCTACACATACACTTAAATATAAGTTTGCCTGTCCCTGGTTTGAATATTAAAACAATATAAACCATTAGAACTGAACAGTAGAATAGAATAAATTGGAAATTTAAAATAGCAGCAGAAATGCCTTTATTTCGCTGTGTGTGTTTTTTTAAAAAAAATTATTATGATTTTTATTCACTTGTAGCATAAAATACGAAGATACAAAAGCAAATAATAGGGAACAAAGGTGGGGGAAGGGGAAAAAGAGAAGTGTGGAAAGTAAGGGGAAGTTGATTTCCGACTCCCTCAGTTGCCGTAAAATAAGGTATTAACATCAAATCTCAACTTTTTACATTTCTATAGTAGTATGAACTAGGCCCTTTCTGTATCAACAAATCAATCTAATCAGTAAAAATGGCCTTTTATTTCAAAATGTAATATTAGGATTTTCATGCTGAACTCCTTCCCCTTCCCTCCCTCCCTCCCCCCATCAAACAAACCACTGTGAATGGATTGTTAGCTCTGACTCTGTTTTCTTTCTCTCGCCAAGTCCTCTCATCCAGTTCAACCTGTTACATTCAAAGTTCCATCTGTGCAGTGTCCCAACTAGAGCACTGCTTCTGTCTACTTACATCAAGTTTGTAAATTTATTTCCTGAGATAAAAACTACTGTTCAGGACGTATTACGCAGTGACAGCCAACTAAAGAATGCTGATGTTGAGCTACAGCAGAGAGCTGTTGAGTACCTGAGACTCAGTACCATTGCTAGTACTGACATTTTGGTATGTATGTATGTATGGTTGCATATATTTATAGTTATGAACCCTAGCCTCCAAAAATAGAGTTCAGTTTTTATTTCTTAATGATTCTGCACTTCGTGGTGGCTTTGAAGGCAGTTGCATATCTGTCTTCAACAGATCACAGGGATGACACCAGGGCTGAACTTGGGGGTGTAGACCTTAGGCCTTGATAATCTAAGAAAGCTTCCATCCACTCTTAGTGGTTTGGAATCAGTGAATGGTGTACAGGTAGTCCTTGACGTACGACCACAATTGAGCTCAAAATGTCTGTGGTTAAGTGAGACATTTGTTAAGTGAGTTTTGCCCCATTTTATGACCTTTCTTGCCACAATTCTTAAGCGAATCACTGCAGTTGTTAAATTAGTAACACGGTTGTTAAGTGAATCTGGCTTCCCCAGGAACTTTGCTTGTCGGAAGGTTGCAAAAGGTGATCACATGAGCCCTGAACACTGCAACCGTCATAAATATGAGTGAGCTACCAAGCGTCTGAATTTTGACCATGTGACCATGGGGATCCTGCAATGGTCATTAGTGTAAAAAATGGTCATAAGTCACATTTTTAGTGCTGTTGTAACTTTTAACGGCCACTAAGTGAACTGTTGTAAATTGAGGACTGCCTATAGTGCTGCACTGGCCACCTGGTTAAAAGCTACAGCCAGCAGCCCATTGTTCCTAAGCCAATGAGATACTACTTTGTAGATGCTCAGACAGTGTGTCAAGGAGCAAGTACTTTTATGAAGTTAGGGCTCTTAAGGGCAGCATCTGATTCCTTCGGTTACTTGCTGCTTCTATTACAAACACCTTTTTCCTTTACAATGGTGCATAGCTTCCATGGCTGCTGACTAGTTCAGCAGAGGAAAGGGGTGGAAACAGTGGTAATGGTAGAAGAAGTGCAGGTAGTGAAGAGGTGGAGCTGCAGATGGTGATATTCCCACTGTAGCGGTACAGAGCTCCACACCTTCTGGTTGGCAATTTGTAATTGTTCCCACTCATAGTGGTGCCACTTTTCAGCGGCATTTCCAGCCCGTTTCTACCTTGTCTGTACTTGTTGCTGTTGAACTATCTGTCCACATCCATTTTCTTGCAGAGCTCCTTAGGGACTCCTAAGTAGAGAAACCAGACTGACTGACATTCTGGTTTCCACACTTGACAGACATGGTCTTTGGCCTTGGTGTGAAAAGAGCCTTTCAGGAAATCACTGAGAAGGGGGAGGGGGAATTAGTGAACTTCCACTCTCTCCCAAGTACAACCCAGAGAGTGGTTAATATGGTCAGCATTTAGGTGGCCTTCATGACTTAAAAAAGAGATCCACCCCTGACTTAGACAAAGCTGTTAAGAGGTCAAAGCATGTTTCTTACATTTCCAAAATGTGCCTTGATTCCTTTCTAAGGCAACAGTTCTAGAAGAAATGCCTCCATTTCCAGAGAGGGAGTCCTCGATTCTAGCCAAGCTGAAGAAGAAAAAGGGTCCAAATACAGTTACTGATTTGGAGGAAACCAAAAAGGAAAGAAGCTCAGATATCAACGGTAGCACTGAGGCCACCCTTGTAAATGCAAGCACAGCGGTAGGTTGTACCTGTTTTTGCTGTTTCAGAAAGGGTGGTGGTGGAATATCACCCGTGTAGACAATAATACTTAGGCAATTCCATACTTTGATTATCACATTTCCAATAATTTGATTATTATTTGTTCTGGCCTTTACATGCTTTTAACTTTATGTGTATTATTACTGCAACCTTATTATAACATTTTTATAACTATATTCTGAGAGATAATTTGTAAACCCTTCCCTCACCAAGAAAGCATCTTTCATTTGTTTTTAACCATGTAATTTCCATACATTAAGGACTTAGGTGCCTGTATAGATAAGTCATGTTTTGCTTAATAAATATAAATGTTTCCGGAGCAGGATTTAGTTTGTGTATGCAAAGTCACACACTGAGATAATATTGATCACAGACTCACAAATAGAAGAATACATAATGACAACCCAAGAATGTCTTATGAGTGGATACAAAGATACAAAGTTTTCCCATATTTCCTTTACTCTCAGCAGCTACTCTTCTCAGACTGACACATGTAAGGATGCTTTAAACTCCATATTAGGATTTGCATTCATTTTGTGTGTCACAGGTTGTGCATGTGTGCTTTTTCCTTTACTTCAGGAGCTCTGAATCTGTTGCTCAAGTTTAATATCCACAGAACTCAGAAGTCCTGCTTGATCAGATGTTGTAGCTGGAGAGCTACTCATGTTCAGGTGCCCCCAAAGAGAAGATCACATGGGGCCTTTCCAGTCAAATCCACAGGGTCTAAATATGGGAGGCCAAATTGAGACATGTGGGGAAAGAAATTGGGAACTCTGCCGGTATCTTTTCCACATGCACATTTTCAGAGAAACATGAACAGAGAATTGGTTTTATTATGAGCATTCACTTTGGAGGCAGACTAGGTTCTTTTGTTTAATCTATCTTTCTTTCTTTCTTTCTTTCTTTCTTTCTTTCTTTCTTTCTTTCTTTCTTTCTTTCTTTCTTTCTTTCTTTCTTTCTTTCTTTCTTTCTTTCTTTCTTTCTTTCTTCTCTCTCTGTCTCCCTCCCTCCATCTCTCACTCTCTCTCCCTCCTAAATTAAGGATTTTTTTTAAAAAAAACAACCTTAGTAGCATATGTATTTTAAAGTTAACCTGGAAAAGCAGTGTTTTTCAAACTTGGCAACTTTAGAATGTGTGGGTTTCAATTCCCAGATCTGCCCAGCCAGCAAGCTGAAATTGCTTAGTTGAAGGCCATGTATCTTAAAGTTGCCAAGTTTGAATAACGTTGTGTTATATAGCACCTGATCTTTAATAAAACACAATGAGGGTAAAAAAAGAAGATATCTTGGCTCTCTGTCCTTTTTAAGCATTTAATACCTCTGTTGTTTCTTGCAGTCTACTCCATCTCCTTCAGCAGACCTGTTAGGTCTTGGTGCAGCTGCAGTCACAAATTCTGTGCCTGCAGCATCAAGTGGTAGTTTGTTAGTGGATGTATTTTCAGACAGTTCTGCAAATCCTGCATCACTTGCTCCTGGTTCCGAAGACAACTTTGCAAGGCATGTGATAAATCAACACTTTCGTTTCTTGTCTTCTTTTTTCTCCCAGTCTTTACCCAATGTAGTTCTTCTGTGTTTCCATGAGGTTACAAAACTGTTTGACACTTTAAGTGTCATTGACTCGCTTTTCCAAGAATAAGATTGGCCAATTTCTATATCCTCCAGATGGTAGGCTGGGTTATTGCCATAGACAAAGGATCAGCTCTAAAGTAAACTTGGCACCTTCTGTTGGCATAGAGTAGAGATGGGAAGGCCTGGAAAAAAAAACTGGAAAAATTGGGGAGAACAGTTGGGTTTTTTTTCTCCATTTTTTCTAAACAGCTTTGGAAAAAAAGGGGGAAAAATCAGAAAAAAATGGTTTTTTTCCCAATTTTTCCAGTTTTTTTCCCCAGGTCTTCCCATCCCCAGGTCTTCCCATCGCTCCTAATTAAGTCAAGTGTTCATTCAGTCCTATATACCACAAATGTACATGTTTCTATATATGTTATTAGCAAGGTTAAATATTTTAATCAGATTACCTACTCTGTTTAGAATAATTTTTCTATAATTGGAAAACATTTTCCCCTCTAGGGTGAAAATTCAATCTGTAATCTATCCAGATTTTTATGTCCTCTGTTACTTTTGAGTACATCTCTATCTGTATTTCCTCTCCAAGATAAACTAAAAGAATGCATACGATTGTTTAAATATAATTTGACTAATGCAGCTATTTCTTTACTTCTAGGTTTGTTTGCAAAAACAATGGGGTCCTGTTTGAGAATCAGTTATTACAGATTGGTCTGAAATCTGAATTTCGACAGAACCTGGGTTAGTTGATAGGTTATAATGAGCCAAAATTATGATAATTGCTGTCTTAGATCTGTTTTAATTTTTTTAATGTTTTTCAGTTTAAAGATAATTTCTTTGATTCCTAAAGAGTTCCCCATAAACAGTGTTTCCCTTAGAAAGTGAAGATTTTCAGAGATGCCAATTATATGCTGTCACTTGATAGATAGATAACCTTTATTGTCATTTTATTACTGTGGGCACAACGGCACACATCAAAAATGAAATTTAGTTGCCCGCTCTCAAAGTGAAACACATACATGACACACCCTAAAACATACTATATACGACATATGTATATAATGATGAGTAGAAAGCTTCTGTAACTAACAGTAGTCCTCAATTAACAACAGTAATTGGGGCTGGAATTTCTGCCGCTAAGCAATGTGGTCATAAAGAACAATGTTGTATGATCCCGTAACTTAGCAATAGTAACCCCATTGCTGTTGTTAAGCAAGGTCCTTGAGGATTGTTAAGCAAGGACCTGACATGACTGTGACATAAGAAAAAGTGGGAATCCAGAAGTGTTTGCTTATGAGTGTTGAAACTGCATCCCAGTCAAGCAGATTGGTGGGGGAGAGATACATGTGGGTGGGTCAGCGCTTACAGAGTATGGGCCGTAGTGTCGACAGGTGCTGTGGAGTCTGAGATCCCCTGGAGAAAAAGCAGCAGGAACAACTTGCAAGAGTGACTTTGACTTTCTGCTAGCTTCCTCATTGACTTTGCTTAAGGAAAGCCAGCAGGGAAAAGGGGTAAATGGCGATCGTGTGATTTCAAGATGTTGTAACCATCTTAATGGCAAGTCAATTCTCAAGTGCCCAAATTGCAATCACGTGACTAGGGATGCTGAACTAGCCATAACTTTGAGGGTTGGTGGTAAGTCCCTGTTCTTCAACACCATTGCAATTTCAAACAGGCACCGAATGGATGTAATCTGAAGTTTACATGTATTTTAAAACTATAATGGTTTCTATGTTTCCCAAATATACATCTAGCACATAGCATTTGTGTTTTCAACACAAATAACCATTCATTTTTTGCTCAAAAACTCCCTTCGCAATTTCACGTGGCACTTTGAAAACATGATATAAATACATTTGTATGAGTATTTCTTAAAAGTTCTCAGTGGACTTTATCGGTAACGTGGATCATATGATTAAGATATTTTCTTCTTTCTTCTAGGTCGTATGTTCATATTTTACGGAAATAAAACTTCTACACCATTTTTAAATTTTGTTCCAACGTTAATCTGTTCAGACGATCTTCAGTCAAATATCCTTTTGTCACTTATATAATTGAACTATATTATATTCTAGGCCACAAGAATAAGAATATATGTTACACTATCATGCATTCTTTGTAGGATAGTATAATGTTCTCGCTGCTTTGTTTGCCTCGCATGGCTTTAAAGAGCAAAAAAAATGTATGAAAAGAAAAACTTCCAAATTAGCAATATTAGCAATAAGAAACTATAATAAACTAGTGTTGAGATTGTGCTTCTGTAAAAGAAAATCAGTACAGTTTTTATTTAGCAGAGAGCATGATGCAAAGAGATTCAGCTGCTTAAATCTGTCAACAAG